AAACACTCCCGCCTGCCCCATGGCCCGAGTCCACCTATCCCCCTGCACATCCGCGCATGCGCAAAGGGAACTTTTGGTTCTACCCTATTGTCAAATACATTTTTGACTCATATCGACACATTAAACACCTATTAGGCGCTATAGCTTCGGAAAATCAAAAATTTTCCACAGATGACATAGAATCATAATGATGATAGAGTCAAGCTCAGTGTCATAGGTTAGCTTTAGCGCCATTAGGATTGCAAACAATTCAGTTGAAGTGTAGAACGCCCAGGTGTTAATTCTTATGCCTAACTCAACAAATTTATTATCGTTCTTAACTAGGGAGGTGGCAACAAGAGCAGATGCAGCCCTGCCAGAAGACTCCTGTTTAGATCCATCAAGTGTATATAACTTGTGATAAACTTGAGCAGTTGCTCTAACAAGAGATTTTTTTTTATATTTTATTTAAAACTAATACAGTTATAACATAAAAATAAAGAAACAGTATGGATCTCAATCAAATTAACTGACAAACGGATTGCACCTATATGCACGCAAGATATTGCTGCCAAACATACAAGAACTACGGCAAGAACATAACTAAAAAAAAATACTGTCACAGGGTCATGAATTGACATAATACACATTCATTAATGCAAAACCTTGCATATATATAACTTGACACATAACATGACATCTGACAAAGGCTCAATACACTTGAACATAAAATATACAAAAGTATGTCAGTTAAATCCCAATCCTTCGCATTAATAAAAAAACCAAAACCTAACATCATAATCTTACTAGAACATCTACATATGTATCCCTAACAATACAGCTTTACATATACCAACATACGAAAAAAAAATAACATAAACCGTCTAGATATGTCTGTATACCATACAGACTAAAACTTAACATCAAGAACTTAGCATTGACACCAAACCGGTATCAGGGTACAGACCATAATTATAAACTTTAAAAAGAATCGAGTCATGCATATATAAAGTAATTACATAACGTCTGACCCATGACAAAGGCTCCAATACAATAGAAAGGGATATATATATAATATACACACACACACACACACCCACACACACACGTACACACAAAAAGTTTCACAAAATCACATTAATCAAAATCACTGTATGCACAAAGCAAAACAGTATCTAAGTATATCTCATCGCGCAAAAACTCAGCACGTAACATACATACAAACTAAAACACACTTCATATCGCAAATAACTTACTACTCAAGAATCATGTCATACAAGACTGATAACATCAAATTATACATAAAAAAATCTACTATATTATACCTACATTCTGAAAAGTGTTATATCTAACATAATGAGACCTTGAGCTCTACATCCACACTTGGCTGCCATAAAGTCTCAATGAAAACCAGGAAACCTTTCCAAACCCACATTCACAACACTCTCACGACCCCCCCCCCCAAAGGAGGCGAGCCCGTTGTGACCCCCTGACTCCCTCCCAAACCTATGAAAACCCCTTCACTCACTCATTATCAATCACAGATTTACGAGAATCCCTAACGTTAGCATTCTATAAACCCCCCTGAGAAAGCCTGATCCCCCCCTCCTCCCATACAAATTTCTGTTACGACACATCGTACGATAGAACGTTACCGCAAGAACCTTTCTTCTCTCCTCACTATCCCCTCTCCCCCTCATCACCCACGACATACATATATATATAATCTACCATGATATAATCTAAAGCTCTTATGACACCCTCTTCTAACCCACCCGTATCTAGACTCAAAGCACGCAGAAGCGACACCCCACGGCCCCCCACCCTCTGTACCAACCTATTTATGGGCCATAAACCAAACAGGAGAATACTTCTGAAATTCATTAATAAAAAACAAATAACCATGTAATTTGTGGAAACAAACTCAAAAACCCCTTTGTGTACAGCAACAGATCCTACATTTATTCATATTTAACAATACAAAAAAAAAGAAAAATAAAGAGAAACATTGCAATATCAAAGAAACAATAGTTCCGATTTGACCTTGGATACAGGTAACATCTCGGTGAATCTGATTTTACATTCCTTGCCTTCAATCATGCAAAATCATCTACACATCATCAAAAGCGATGATTTTCCCTATGTAGGCCTATTTTTACTCTGTAATCATATAATGGGCTATATAGAAACGAAGGATTTTTCTCTTACATTGTTGCAGCCCTGTTTTGTTGCATTAGTGTCACCTTCTTTAGAGCTCTATGGGGTTCCCCCCCTTTAAATGGGGGTCCCCCGGGGGGGGCCAGACCCCCGCTCCCCCCCCTTACACAAAAGTGGAAGCAGAAAGTGGCCC